TGTGTGTGTGTGTGTGTGTGTGTGTGTGTGTGTGTGTGTGTGTGTGTGTGGAATGCTCGGTATGTGCGGACGGACGACATGAAGCTCAGCCTCGTTTCAAACCTTTAAATAAAGACAGAACAGAACCCGTCCTCATCATTAACAGACCCACGCGGCTAAAATCACCTCTTTTTGCAAAGATCCCGAACCGAGGCGGGTCCAGCTCGTGTTCTGACTCAGTTGTTTAGATGTRGATCCACCCTGCAGAGGCGGACATGGTTCGGTCTGTAGTAGGTGGGACTCCCGAACCGAGCGGTCTGCAGCAGGACGTCGTAGATCAATGAACCGGACCGGAGGCTCGGTCCATCTCCCGCTGTGGTTCTGATGTGTCAGAACACCTAGAACCGAGGATCTGCTTTCCTGTGGTTATTTGTTCTGGTACCCAGCCCGTCCAGGATGCTATAAACCCACTGGGTCTCATCGAGTCCTTTATTCTGATTTTATTTTTAATTAAAAAAAAGCTCCATGATGATTTTTGCAAACACAGGAAATCCTCTGAAAACCACCATCCGAAAGCAGGTAGGTCTAAAAACCACCTCTTTATCTCCTCTTTTATTCCTCACCTCAGATTTAATTAAACTCGTGACATTGGAAAGCCCTCTCCGGGAACCAGATGTCATATTTTTAATTAATTCAGTTAATTAGTAAATGATGCTGCTTAGATCTGCAGCTGGAACCCAGACCCGAACCATCCAGTCCAGATAACCTTGTTTGTCCGGCGTCTGCCCAAGTCTGTTCTGTGTGACTGTAGTCCGTTTTGTAGGTTAATGAGTGGGTGAATCCGGGGAGAGGACTTCATGTCCTCATGYGATGTTCAGGATGTCAGAGTGCCGAGCCGGGCTGAGCCATCGCAGTCCGAGGGTCCTTTAACCCCCCTCTTTTTTAGATTCGGCTGATGTTCCGAGGAGACGGATAAATCTGGACGAACGTGGTTTCGTTCGCCGCRTGGTACTTCATTTGAACCCGACCCCTGCAGGGAGGAACGTGTTTTCGGCGTTAATCGGCTGCGAGAAGATGCCCTTGTGAATGTCATCGTCAAGCTGCACCCCTGAGGGACCCCTTCTCCGCCGGACGGAGACCGTTGGGCCAGCATTGCACGCACGGATCCCTCAGCAGCGAAACCATCAGATCACTGAGCGAAAATCGACGTTTCTACCATTTCCATGGAGTTCTGCAGGAGACTAGAGTGACCTAGAGAGCGTGGTGAAACAACCAACGAGGGTACTCTCAGAAAATCTTGGTACCATCTTCCTACGATATAGATCAGTGGTTCCCAATCCTGGTCCTCGAGAACCATGGTCCTGCATGTTTTAGACGTTTCCCTGCTCTTCAGCAGGTCTTCAGATTCTTGATTATAAATTAGTTGTGTCAAAGCAAGGAAACATCTGAAACATGGATAGCAGTCCTCAAGGACCAGGACTGGGAACCACTGGTACGGATATCAAGATAAACCTTCATACATTCATTTCCTCTCAGTTATCTGTGGTCGGAGTGTAGAGGCAACAGCTCCAGCAGGGAACCTCTCTCCAGGTCCTCCTGGGGGAACCAAAGGCATTCCAAGACCAGAGAGATTAGTCAGTCCCTCCATCGAGTCCTGTCTTCTACAGGGATGCTACCTAACCAAATATTYGAACCATGAGGAGCAGCATGAGGTCCTCACCTTATCTCTAAATGTCCAGAATTTATCTGATCCAGACCCTAATACTCAAGATCTCCTTTTGGTCTTGATCCACACCTCGTTTAATGAGGGTAGGTGGACCAAAGAGCTTTGCCTTTTTGCAAAACCCTTTCTTCCAGAGCAACGCCCTTATTACTGTGAGCAAGTCCTCAATCTGTTGGTCCACCCCACTATCACTCAGGAATGGGACTCCCACATACCTGAACCCCTCTGTTTTAGGGGAAGGCTCAAGTTGCATCCTAAATCCTACAATATGTCTGAGCGTAGTCATTTTAGTTGTAGTACCCATACTACCAATGAATGAGCTTTTACCMCTGTTTCTCTGTAGAGACCATTGAGAGTTCAATGAGATCAGAAGCAGGTCATGTTGGACCAGCTCTGGAAAAAGGTTTGTCCTAGTTTCCACAAAGCCAATACCAACCGGATAGAGGGTCTAAAAAGCAGGACTCAAGTTGGTTCTGACCCTCCAGTGCTGCAGGTGAYGAGCTGGGACTCGTTGAGAGTCTGGCTTTTAGCTAGAGKGGTGTCGGTTCCCAACACCTTTCAGCTGGCAACGCCTCAGGACACCCTCAGGACAACGTGATGATTGTCGAGTTTGCTGAGATTTAATATATTTCTGTCTTTGCCTTCTTCCAAAACCCTACCTAAAAGCCAGTTTAGAGAACAGTAAAAGACTGGTTCCCCCRCTAATCGTTGATAAAACACTTCCACAAAATGACCGCCCAGACCGGTCCGTCATCACGCTGCCTCTKGTTGTTCGTTAATCACAGATAGAGACACGTGTTTTCAGGGATTTAGCGAGCATCATGGAACCAACRCACCAGCTAAAAGTTTCACATGTCGATAGTTTTGGCTCTGTTGCTAGCTTCGACCCCCCTCACAAGGTCTGAGGTGTCTCATGAAAGAGACTTGGGAATTAGATCAGAACCAGTTCAAGACCACGGTGAAGAGTGTTCAATAAAAGATCTTTAAGAAATCRTTGGAAAACCTCAAAGATCTTTTAGCGTTCTCTGAAAMCACGTTGAAAGATTTGGTTAATTTTATGGACACTTCAGGGCCTCGCCTCTGTTTGAAGGAGCTGCAAAGCAGATCTGGACCCTTGATGGCCCCAATACAAAGTTACTTCAGCACATACCAGACCTCACAGTGTTTACCCATGAAAGAACAGATAAATCTGCTTTCCTTCTTTCTTTTTTTTATTGAGTTGTGTATCTTTGGCTCTTGAAGTGGATTCTCCTTTGGTTCTGGACAGATGGTGTTGTGCTGCCATGTTCTGCCTTTGATCATATCTGCAGAAGGTTTGGGGTGGCTGGGAGCGATTTTAATGAATGAGTAAAAGGAAGGAAATGCTTTGCAGGGCAACGTGGTGAGTAAGTGGCTTACAAGCAGGAAGAAAAAAAAACGGCAGCTTTAATCCTGGTGTGATTCATGAAGGTCTCATAAGAAACCATCTTTCTGCGTTTAGACAATCATAGTTTTAAAAGAGATTAAATACTTCTACTTCAAGTGATAATTTAGATTTTTTTAAAGTGGGATCATGAGTAAAGATTATAAACAAATAATACCTAAGCTTTTGTAGATAGTAGCTCTTTTAGGAGCCTGTAAAATTAAAACTTAGTTTTTCTGCTTTAATTTTCCAAAACTCTATAATATTCACATAAAAATTGTTCCATTAAATATATTTTGCACAATCACAATTTCATGATTTTTTTGGGGGGGGGTTGGGGGGCAGAAGAAAATATAAAATTCAATCCAAAAGTAAATAATCCAAAGAACCTGCTCATAGATTAGATTTTACATCACCAATAATTTTTTAAGGAATATAGATGTCATATTTGCTATTGCAAATAGTGACAGCAGCAGCTAGCTGTACCTTTTTTATGCTAGTAATGGTGGACAAAGTGAGAGAAAAGAATACGTTTTAAATAAAAATATGGCGATATAAAAATTTAAAATTTCTAGCGGTTGTAATTTTAATACTTTTATCATTTGTATAAACGTGTTTTTAAATATTATTTTTGTCAGAAAAAAAAACGCGAAATAAACATGCACCTGTGGCGGGTCAATTAGTTCTTCAAATATTACCTTTAATTTAATTGTATTGTTTTGTGATATTAATAACGCTAATATATTGATATTTTTCTGATTTTGATCTAATTTTGCTTCTGTTTAGCGTCATCACAGTTGCTAAGCGATAGCACGTATGCCGGGGTAAGGACGGGAGGCTAGACCTTCCAAATTCTCATTATTTTTCCCGGTCTTCCCAGTCAACCAAGGACTCGGCCCACCTCGACYGGGTAGTCTGGGTCCTCCGGGGGACCCAGACCACTGTTTTGGACACAGCCTGTGTTAGGAGTAATATTTTAAATTCTGGATTTGACAGGGAGCCAGTGGAGAGAAGCTAAAACTGGAGAAATATGATCTCTCCTTCCAACTCTCATTAAAACTCTAGCAGCAGCATTTTGGATYAACTGAAGACTTCTTAAACAGTTTTTTGGACCCAGATAATAAAGAATTACAGTAATCCAGTCTAGACGTGATAAATGCATGAATCAGTTTTTCTGCATCATTTTTGGACAAAATATTTCTAATTTTAGTGATATTACACAGGTGGAAGAAGGCGGTCCTGGTAACATTTTTAATGTGGGGGTTAAAAGACATGTCCTGATCAAAAATAACACCAAGTTTCTTTACATTAGAACTGGAGGCCAGATTAATGCATCCAGAGGAGCTGAAAGGCTACAAAGTTGATCCCTAAGATGTTCAGGTCCAAGAACCATAAACTCTGTCTTATCTGAGTTTAGAAGCAGAAAGTTAAGAGTCATCCATGTTTTTATGTCTGTAAGACATGCTTGTAGTTTAAGTAACTGGTTGGATTCATCAGGTTTCATGGATAAATATAGCTGAGTATCATCAGCATAACAATGGAAATTTATCCCATGCTGTTTAATAACTTATGTGATAACTACTGTGATGGACTTGCGACCTGTCCAGGGTGTACCCCGCCCCTCGCACTGTGACTGCTGGATATGGGCACCAGTGACCCACGCGACCCTGAAAAGGAAGAAGCGTGTACAGAAAATGGATGGATGGATGGATGTTTAATAACTTTACCTAATGGAAGCATATATAAAGTAAAGAGGATTGGTCCAAGCACTGAGTCCTGAGGAACTCCATGACTAACTCTGGTGTAAGCTTATTATCAGTTAGCATCAGTCAGCCGTTAGTTTATCAGTTAGCTGTTAGCTTCTGAATTAGCAGTTAGTTTATCAGTTTATCATTTAGCTGTTAGCTCTGCAGTTAACCGTTAGCTTGTCAATCTGATCAGAAATAAACTTTCTATAAACTTTCTATAATTGAAATCATGCAAAGAGCTGTATAAAACTGGTCATATTTTATTATACAGTAGAACATCTAATTATGAATTAAACTTGTTCCGTATAGAATTTGAATTTGTTTTTTGCACTTTTTTAAAATTGAAATTATGGAAAATATAATAATCAGTTTTAATGCTATGCTCCTATCAAAAGTGCATTTTCAGCATGACAAAAGCATCGTTCCCATCTAAAAACATCGCTAGAATGAATTTTGAAATGYAAAAGGTATTAATGATACATAAAGGTAATAAACAGATTGTGTCATGGTGGTTGCTCATATGTAGTTGGTTACAGTCATTTGTAAGACCATACTTTTGTWATGGCAGGCCATAATTGTACTGATTTCTGCGCCAGTTTAGGTGTGTGATGGGCACAGCAGCGTAAACAACAGGCTCCAGCGTTGATCATTGATGAGCGGCGCTTTAACGTGGTGTGAAATCTTAACGTCAGATTTTCCCTGCTGTGTGTTTCTGTGCTTCCATTTTCACGRAGACGGGATGCTCTTGTGATCGGCGTTGACCCGGGCTTAAATTAGGTTATCTTGGTCACGTAAACATCCTAACAGAAGGTTTCCTGTGTGCAGTCGTACCCCATGACTCCGTCCAGCCCCAGCAGCAGCAGCAACAGCAGCAGCACAGGCCTGGAGCAGCTCAGCAAAACCAACCTGTACATCCGAGGCCTGCCTCCCGCCACGACAGACCTGGATCTGGTCAAACTCTGTCACCAGTGAGTGCACACACATGAACACACAAACATGAACAAACACACACACATGAACACACAAACATGAACAAACACACACACATGAACACACAAACATGAACAAACACACAAAAACATGAACACGCACAAACATATGTATCAGCTGAACAGGATGTATCCTTGTTTGCTGAATCATGGGTTCTTATAACCGTTGGAGACTCCAAAAAATGTTTTAAGGGGGCGCTTTTTGTGGGTGGGGGTGTGTGACAATTCTGGGGGGGCACCAACACCAAAACCCAGAACAGAGTTTCAGAAAATTTTTACGTTGTTGTCTTTAGGTTATTTGACAAAAACAATAATTTTCCTTCTGACCATTATTGCCCCTGCTGTCCCTTTCTTGGTGATGTCCCAGGTCAGCCTTATCCAAGATGGCCGCCATCGCTAATCAATCTTAGCAAATGCAAAAATGGCTATAACTTAGCCAGTATTACTGAGACTGAGCTAAAACTTTGAGTGGTAGTAGCTGAGAGTTACCACCCATATAAGGTCACACGAGATCTTCGAATTAAGTTCAAATTCTAATTATTTTTCAAATTATCAAATATTTCATTTAAATAAACAAAACAAAACACATTCATACAACAAAACAATACCAAAAAATAATAAATTAATAAAATAAAAGGTAGCA